ACAACAGTCCCCTACACATCCTAAGCCCTAGAAAAGCAGGAAGTCAGAGAAGAGAAGTCACTGGAGAAGCCCAGAACTTCCCAAGACATGGAAAGCCAATAGCATATTTTCAATTTACATTTTTAGTCCACAATTATGCAAGCACTGTAGTAAACCTTGGACTCCGCAGCACACCCTCCCTCCCTACTTTTTCATACAAAACCTCTAACATTGCACATATTACCTTGATCTCCCAGCACTAAAGCACCAGCTTCCAAGGCAAAGTCTCCAGAAGTGCCATCTCTAGACAGTGTAACAGTCAGGCCAGAGCTGGTGGAAGTATTACCACAAACATACACACCTCGAGGAGCGATGTTACACACTGCCTAGAAGAGAAAGACAGACTTTTTCTCCTCCCTCAGGTAAAGAATCCCATAAGCCTTATTCTAGAGAAAGAATCTGAAGCAAAACCAAATTTTGTTTCTTTCTGCTTAATGTGGGCCAACAGTAACAAGTTATAACTCCTTGTAACCCCAGGAGACATACTTCTGCAAAACTGTAGGAATAACTTTGGTTCAGTACTTGCAGCACAAGATCAGAACTTGGGTTATTGCAAGTCATATCTTAAAGTAACATGTTCACATTAGAAAGACTCAGATTTTATAAATGAGGTATGCAATACTGCCGGCATATGTGAACTCTGTCCCTCTTTCACTTCAGAGTAACAATAGAAAAAAAGAGACATGGAACTTTAAAACTATTCAGTTTGAGACGAATAGATTATATTGCTAACTGATTTTGTCAGTGATGCAGAAATGCCCACCAAGATTAAAGCCCAAATGCAGCAGCAGGTCCGTTTCCCCAAAAGCCAAGATTTGTGTTAGCAACATAGAAATAGGGTAAGAGAAGGGAAGTAAACCTCACAGAAAGTGAGTGACACAGTATTTGAAGTTGCATTAGTTCCAAGGGCATACTTATTTTATTTGACAATGTATCAGCTGAATGAAGATAGGAAAGAGCAAGGCTCTTTACCAAGGAAAAGGAGTGGTGAAAACCACTACATAAGGGCAGGACAGCAGGCCTATACTTGAAAGGCCCCGGGCTTGACCAAGCATACCTGCTTTGGCAAGTGTTTTGACAGGCTGCATCCCTTCTGCAAGGCTCACCAGAAGGACAGGACTGCAGGGGACCCCTTTGGGTACTACCCTACACTTGAGGCATCCTACAGGAAAAGATTGCTCCAAGCAAGATCAAAGGGTTGTTTGAGCCTAGCACAGCTATCCTACCATCCTTAAGATTACAAGAAGTCAAGATAGCAAGGAATTAGAGAAAAATACGAGACAATAAAAATAAATCAACCCATACTTGCAACATTTGACTTTTTCCTAATCCTGGATCTCCAACAACCAGAACATGTGGATTTCCTCGCACTGGAATTCTGTTCTTGTCATCTACAAACTTCTGACATCCTCCAAATAACGCCAGGATCAAACCCGCCTTTACAATCTGTAGTGGCACATACCAACACGGGTAAGTATTTGATCATGGTGACCAACATTCACAGCTCCCTAGAACTGGCTGTAGTAACCCTTTCTTTCTGCACAGCTGAGGTTAAAGGTATAAGGCTGACACCTCCTTGTCACTGAATGTGACTGAGTCACAGTCACCTGTAAATACAGTCCCTGCCCCTTCCCCCCACCCCAGAGAAGTTTTATAAATCCTTCAGGAGATTCCAACTGAAGTTGCAAACAGGGCAGTTAAATTACTTGCCTCATGGCCATAGATTGCAGGACAGAGAGAGCTGAAAAACAAGAACACTAACATAAGGGGAATATAAAGCTTGTATTACTGTTAAATAACGAATTGCTCTGTCTCCCTTGTCATAGAATACTTTTAGAAATACATAAATCTTTTGTTTAGCTGTTGCTGAATTTCAACAGGATCGGTTCTAAATTAAAAAAGCAGCATCCAATTTCTTGAAATTTTCAGATAACCAGATACGCTTAAAACGATAAGAAAAGCCACTTCATTCAAGTTTGCCCGCAGAGAAGAACCAGTTTCCCAGTGTTGCTGCACCTGTATTTCTATTTATCAATTAACTACCCGTACACCTCCTTTTAAAGGTGCCAGTTTCATGTTCTTTGACTCCACTGGAAGGACCCGAGAGACACCCCAGCTAGAAGAGTACTTCTTGTTCTGAACTGAGGGTCTTTTGCACCCTCTGCTCAGTTCTTACACCTCATTCCTCTGTTGCAGAAAAACAGAGGAGAGAACAAAATAGTGCTCATGAGTTGAATTTGCTCAGTGAGGAGCAAAATTAATAAGTGCCTTTTTTACCCATGGCTTTCTGTCTCCAGATTGAACTGAAACACTCCTAACTCCCTTGTTAAATCCCTCCCAGAGTCCTAACATCCCCTACTGCAATGCTTTCACTTCCTCCCAAGCCCACAGTCCACTAAAGTTTGTTAAATCTCTGTGGTATCCATTGCACAAGCCTTAGATTTTTCATAGTTTTAAGATTAGCTGTCATGTCTGATGTTGGTCATGCTAATTCACAAGTCTAATCCCACATCTAGACGAGGTCTGACACAGCTTACTTCACGATGAGCCTGAATAGATTTTCCTCAGCTTGAATTTCTTGAACAGCGTAAAGGTCTTTAAGTGAAAACTCCATGAATGTTCTTTGAAACGTCTCATCGTTCTTCGGTTTTTGTCCTTTACTGTTGCTGACGGAATTTGCCGCAATGTACAACAAGAACATACACTTGTCATTCTTATTTTTAGAAGCTCCTGTTAGAACAATTAAGAGAGAATGAAGGAATATTTTTTTACATCAGTAAGTACTGTTATTGACGAATGGCATAGGGCAATCACATGCAAAATATTCATAGTTAGGTAACTGAACACCTACCTTTTCAAAAACTGATGCAGAATAAGTAAGTTTCTAGTTACAATTGTTCTTTAAGTTCCCTCCATTTAGGTACATAGTAAAATATTTTGCTGTATTAGGAGGGTATATGTGTGTAAAGAGAATTTTCTAACAGAATAAATGTTTTCCAGGAATTTTACATTATTATGTTATTCTAGTCAAATAGAAGTTGAAAAAAAAATGTTTATGCTCCATGTTTACAGGGAAAAAAATCCATAGTGCAGAAGAACTAAACACGTAGCTTAATAATTAATCATTTTCTATATCCTCCAATGACTACTGAGCAAAGAACGTGGTCTCACAGTAAATCAGTACTGCAGTTGTCTGCAATATATTCTATAACAGCCTCACCTAGGTGGGGAGGAGGGGGACAGGACACGACATGCATCAGTCTCTCAGAGACACTTTAGGAAATAAGGATGTCCCCCTCACATTAATGGTCCTGAGAAGGCTTTCCTGTCAGCTGACATACTAAAACATCAGCTATCAGACCGGCACTTCAGATTCAGGATCATAGCTGCGCATAGACCAGTGGGTTACAAAAGCCCCTCTCTATCAGTGGATGTTAGAGAGAGCTCCTCTTGGACAGCACTGCTGCTGATTTTTTCAAAAAACCTCCTCATTATAAAACTTTGGGAACTTCTGAAGAAAGATACACTTCCTGCATATACAACTGTGAGAGCTCAGATTAAGGGGGATGGCTGTTGTTCTTGTGTAATCACTAGAAAAATCCCCACCCAAGGAAGAAGGTGTTCTCAGATGATGCATTTTACCTTCCTCGGTGCTCAACACCTTAACTATGCCTGTAATCGTGACCATATCTCCTGGGACACAGCTGTCCACAAGATCCTGAACAAGTTCACATTCGATTGTGCGAGGGATTCGGCCGGCTTCTCGCTGATCATCTGACATGAGCTCCTGCACCCTGCAAAACATGAGGGGAGCGTAGACTCCACGCATAGCATTTCCTATTCAGTTACGGCATACAAGATCCGCAGCTGCATGCTTCCAACCAATCCTTTCCAAATTGAAAAGGGAGGCAGGAGAAATGCCCCGATAAACACTAGAAACAGCAATGCTGAATGTGGAGAAACAGACTTTTTTCAGTTCAGACTTTAATGAATGAGTATACATTATGCATAAAACCCTGATGGACAGCAACTCAAACCAGCACCCTCTAGAGCTGTTGACAAGAACACCAGCTTCATTTTTTAAATGAGTTTTTAAATCCCTTCTTACACAACGTTAACAAAACCAAACATATTCAGATGTCGTTTGGCACAGTAAGATCGTTTATACTGAGTACATGAGCTTACAGAATCTGAATGCAAGTGGGGGAAAAAGTAAGCAGAGTCCTGGGGGTTGTGGGTTTTGGTGGGGTTTTTTTTGTTTGTTTGGGTTTTGTGTGGTTTTTTTTTTTCTTTGTTTGTTTTTTTGTTTTGGTTTGTTTTTTTTTGTTTTCCCAAGCTGACACCCTTACTGCAGTAAGCTAATGGGATGGGCAAGAAAACACACAAACTCGTGTGACCACATGTTATGGGGCAACAGTAGGATGGTCACCGCTCTATAAGTACACTAGTGCTCAATAAAACAACCACTTGGTAATACAATTTTGAAGAGTGCTTGCTGCAGAAGAATAAGATTATTAAAATTACACACTGTAGCAGTGAATGAGCCATCCCGTCACCTTGTGATTACCCTGTTGCATTACATTGTTGTGCAGAAGGGAAGATATGCTTACTTAACTGACTGCCAGTCCACCGTGGTGGTTAAAGGAGAGCTCCTGTCAGCGGTGAAGGATCGGCCACGGCACTCAGGAACAAGGCACTGTAACAATAGTAAGTCTAATTAATTCTCAACTTTTTAAAAATCATCATTTGAAACTGCCTTATATGATTAAAAAAAAAGAAAAGAAAAGCAATAGGATTCATTAACACTATTTCAGGAAAAAACTTAGTTGAATTAGGGCTACAAATTAGCACACACATAATTAATGATAATGAAGTGCTAGCAAGGCCAGACACCTGAACCCTGATCCAGAGTTGGCATAGCAAATGCAGCTGTTCCCCTTGGTGAACTGGTGTGAGTCTTTGGGTGTTGGGTAGAGAAGGTGGTCAATGTTTTTTTTTGGGGTGTCTCTGTGTGTGTTTGTTTGGTTAGTGTTTGGGTTTTTTTTTATTGTGATTTTTTTTGACGTTTAAGTTTTGTTGGGGTTTTGGGGTGGTTTTTTGGGTTTGTTTGGTTTGGTTTTTTTCCTGATTGTTGGTTTGGAGTTTTTATGGTTGATACTTGCAGATGTTCCAGAGGAGATAATTTTTTCACTTGAGCACATCAGATAACACAGGACACTGCCCTATGTCCTGTGGAGACATAGTGGAGATTGGTGACAAGTGGCGT